TGGTGCAGCGGGGCTGGCGGGGGAAGATCAGGAGAAGAAGTGAGAGAGAACCAACCGGCTGGCCAGGAGGGGGTGGGGGAGGGAGCATATCAGCCGGTGGGAAGCGGGACTGACCGGGGCAGTGCAGATCCCAGGGTGCTCCCACCCCCCGCACGGTCCAGGCGAAGGGCAAGTCAGTCCGGCTGCGGCTCCACCATGCGCTTGACCAGTGCACTGGAGCACGGACTGGGCTTTCCCTCCTCCTCACATGCAGCCAGGACTCCCAGCACTGATCATGCCCCGCCTCCCAGCCACTCCCCCTGCCAGGTTTCTGGGCGACCAGTTGGAAAACCAGAAAATACCAGATATTGCACATGTCCGGTATTTTCTGGATATTTCTACCGGACAAAGCCCCCAAAAACCCAGACTGTCCAGTAGAAAACCGGACACCTGGCAACACTAAGACATTAGGGTGTGCCTGGGCACACCCAGCACACCCCGTACACATGCCAGTGTTTAAGATACGTCAACTCCAGCTATGTAATTAAAGTAGCTAGAGTTGTGTATCTTAACTCGACTTTCCCCTTTCATATAGACCAGGTCTTCATGTCCTGAGTCTGCATCTGGGAGAATCTGGGAAAATATGATGGGATGGATCACTTAATAATTACCCAGTTCTGTTCATATCCTCTGATTATTCTGGCATTGGCCATTGCTGGAAGATGGGATACTGGATTACAATGAGTGACCATAAGTATGACCTAGTATGGCTGTTCTTATGTCTAACTTACTATTCAGCATGAAGTAAGGATGGTAGAATCTGGCCCTAAAATTGTCATATTTCTAAACAATGTATTCAAATTTTCCTGCTGTTCTAGAAAATTAATCAAAATCTAAACCATTAGCAACTGTATACTTTGGCATTAATTAAAACTAAATAAAACTATTTTCATTTAAAAAAAATATTGGGTAAATTGTAAACTGAAAGTAACAAATCAGCAATTTTATATATAAAGTTAGTTTAAAATCTTATGATTGCCAATCTCTTTCTAGTACTTTTTTGCTTCCCACTTTCTAGCCCTTTTTTGCTTACATGATTCCCTTTGGTTTCAGCAAGCCAAAACTACTGCTGTGGGCAGATGGTAGAGAGAACACTACCACAAAACCTGCCACTCAAACTGTAACAGATGACTGTAGCTACAGAAAACTGTCCCTTTGTTCACTTTGCTAATGAGTGTCCTCATTGCAGCAGGAGACTGAATAGCTAATTATTTGCAGTTCTTTTTTATAACAGATGGTGGAGCTAGAGCTAAAGGTTATACATGCAAAGCACAAACTATAAATTGATCTGTGAGTAAAATAAGCCTACTATATTTTCCTGAATTGTTGCAGTAAAACAATAACAGACAAAAAATATACACTTAGATATTAAAAACATTGCTTAAAATTTATTCTTTGGTTAATATGACTAAGTCAAACAGCTCCTAGTTTCATTTAAAATGATGCTGATTCTTCTGCTATCCGCTGTTGATGCCAAAATTCAGCCAAAGCAAAGGAACTCATGCCTAAGCCTGTTTAGGTCTGAAACAGTTATTTAAAAGGTTCTTTGCAATTGCAGATTTGTTCTGAAATGGATTAGAACTGAACAATGTTTGAGGAGAATGATAAATAATCACTCAAATATTTTATTGGCTGTTTTATTAACAACCAATCTTCAGCTTGTTAGAGACTTTCTATAGGATTTCCAAGGTTCTGGAAAGAGTTTTTATAAAAAAAATAATCCTAGTAAAGTAATTAACTAGCAGGAATAACTAAAAAGCTCTTTTGTTAGAATAAAACTCTTTAAAAATTGCAGTGAGATAATAGTTATTGAGGATATATAGTTTGAAAAATATATACTGCTAACTTTACATACTTTCATTAATCGACAATTGACCTTTCTAGAAATTGCTACTTCTTAGCAAAAAAAAAAAAAAAAAAAAGCCACAAACTAATAGGGTTGATTTTTAAGGCATGCTATGGGATTTTATCCACCTGATTCCCAGTAAAATCATTTGGAGTATTGCAGCCAGAAGAACTGTATGAAACACTTAGATGGTTTATTCCTAAATGTTTTAGTGAGCAGAAGGCACTGAGTTGGTTCTTTTGTTTTGTTTTTCGAGAATAATACTTGAAATAGTTGTGCAGGACTAAATTTTAGGCATAAATATATTTTAATTTTGAGTTCATGTTTACATGTTTTCTTAAACTCAGAATTTTACTTCTGTAATTCTAGGTACCAGAGTTTTCATACTTTCACATGCTTATTTTTGCCAAGTAGAACAAATACCTTAACTTTCCTTTAGTAAACAAATAAATTCATAACCTGTGCTTTGTTTTTAATATTTTAAGGCCTTTGGAATTCAGTTTGATAGTTTGGTATTACTCTGAAGTTTTGTCTAGCTTCCGAAAGCTTTTCTGTAATTTTAAAAGAAATATGTGGCAGTAAAATCGGGACAGCCATAAGACAGTATATTCAAATGTTTTCAATAGCTTTGAAACAGACAAGAAAAAAAGAGTAGCTGTCCCAATAAGCTTCAGTTGCATAAGAAGTCTTTTCCATAATGGATGTGGCAAGATTTAAACAAAGGACACGCATAATAAAAATGTAAATGAGTTTGCTTTACTAAAACTATAACTTTAAAGTCTTTTGTTGAATGTTATCCTGGAACCTTCTTACAAGGTAATCACTGTTTGCATAGAGATTTAAACCATAGTCTTCAATAGCATTAAACCCCTGCACGGTCTATGTGTGACAGGCATGCAAAGCCATGTTAATGTTCAGAATATGAATTGCCTCTGGGTGGCTCCGACACCAAGTAGAAAACCAACTGTGTTGGTATCAGAAGGCCTGATGGACTCCATGCGGCTCCCAGCCTGAAAACTTCACCACTTTGACATGTGATGTGCTCCTCATGACACTGGCAGCACTGTCACTGAGAAATGGCACAAAGGCAACAAGCCCCCCTCCTTAGCCATGCACTTTGCAACCCCCTGGTGTTGCCTGTCCACAGTCTCTCCTGCCTGCCTAGTTACGGACGGCACTTCATAAACACAGAGGGAAGTGTGGGTGGACAGGCCCCAGCTGCCTTCCTGGACACAGCCTCCATAATAAATTGACCTGAATGATGAGGGCATACAAACAGTATGATATGCATTATTCCTGTCAATAAAATGTCCCCATGTGTTATGGCTTTGTATATAATGTACTGCAGTCTTTCTTCTAGCAAGATCCCATTTAGTCTCCTGACTCTTTTCTATTCATATTATAACTGTGTAATAGAATTCAGAAAATTATGTGATAGCTGTGTTGTATAGTTGTTATATTTGGTGCAGCACATTTAAATCCTTGATTCTTAACTTAGAAATGTAAGTTCTAAATCTTTCAGATTGCCTTTGACAATGATGATGAAAATGAAAAAAAAGTGCTTGAAAAAGAAAATAAGGATTTCAGAGAAGAGATTGCTAAACTACTTGATAGGATTTTGCATCTTGAAGAGTCTCTAAAACACGGTGAAAAAGAAAATCATAAATTAGGTAAAATTTTCATGTGATGTTAGGTCAATATGACATTTAAATATAGTATGAATTAAATGTTAAATCAAAATGTAAATCTTGTATTGTTCAAAAATGTGGTAAGTTATTCTTGGCTTTCTGTCGGCTTGTTTTGTACTTTTTAATTATTCTAAATTTTATATATTTCCTTTTTCCTTTTTTTTTAAACTCGTGATAAAGGAATATTTGTTGTTCAAATGGATATTGAGATGTCTTATGTTGGTTAAGAGTATTGCTGGAGTTCATAAAATAGACCACTATTATTTTGTAGTCTGCAAAATTAAAATCTGAGAAAGGTGTTATATAAATATTTATATTTGTAAATGATGTAGTATATAGTTTTATTGCCTTAAGATGAGAAGATCAAATGTTCACTGTATATAGAATGGCTTTCTATGCTTATGCATATGATTAAAATACACTTTCTGGGGAAAATATTAATTATATGTTTATATAGAAGTCTGTAAGAATCAATTTCTTCCTCAAGTTATCAACACTGTTTTCAGTATATTTACTTTAGAACACTTTTAAAAAGGGATTCTTTTTGTTTCATTCTGAAATTGAGTGTGTTTGTGTGTATTTATACATATTCATACACACTGTATAGATTATAAGAACAATTAACAAATCCTCTCATTATTTTCAAGTTGCCACTAGTATATTGTCAGTGTTAGAAAGTTCTCATGGAAAGCTAGAAATCTATAGCATTAGAACCAAATTTGTGTGGAAAATCTGGCTTCTGACTTTGGTACACCCAAATAGATTAGACGTAGTAGTACCTTTTATAGTAGAAAGATGAATTTGATATAAACAGTATTCTTTATTGCTGTTTATCATCAGATTTAATGGCACTTCTCATCTCTTCATAGTTTTATTTGCGCAATAAAGAACCACCTGCTAAAGCACTTTGTATTGGCTGTGACTAACAGCAAGGATGTCCAGAACTAGTATTAATGAAAAGCTGTGGGCACTCAGCCACACTTGGCTCTTGAACTTACTTCTTAATCTCTATCTGACCAGCCGGCTGAACAGCAGGAAGAAGGCTGTGAATGTCAAGGGCAGTTGTGAAGGTCAGATTTCTGCTAGGACTTTGATCCACGGTGAATTCCACTAGGCTTAGACTGACCTGAAACACACAATATGAATACAATGATCTAGGCATGTAATTTCATGCTCTACCTTTCTTCTTTTTTGTTTTCAGATAAGGAAGTTCGAGGTATGCAATTAAAAATGGAAAAAGATGAGAAAACTATTCAAAAGGTACTGTAATGTTTCGACAGTGATGGATGTCTCTCTAAGCAGAAACACAGCAGGCTTAGGTTATTTGCAAAATGTATTCCAAATAATATTAGAAAGATGAAAAATAGTCTATATAATTTCAATTGTTTCAAGTTTTGTTTTATATTTGTGTAAGTCAATAATAAGTAATAATGAGCTGATATTCCTGAGTAGGCAGAAGATGATGATTCATATTATCTTTCTCCTGTCATATCAGCATTATTTGTGCTGTATTTTAACACTATTAGGTAAAACACTTCCTTGCTTCTGAACCTCAGTAAACTATATTGGATGTGGGTGGAGAACTTTCATTAAGATGGAGGACACAGGTATATTTTTAGAGCAGGGGTGGGCAATAATTTTTGATGGGAGGGCCACTCCAAGATTTTAATAAGTAGTCAAGAGTTGCACATTTCTTTGGAGAAAGTGTGGGTTTGGGACGGAGGATGGGTGCAGAAGGGAACTCGGGGTCTGGGACTGGGGTGCAGGAGAGGATGTGGGATCCGAGAGATAGTTTGATTGAAGGAGGGAGTTGTGATCTGGGGCAGGTGATTGGGGTGCAGGGTCCAGGAGGTGTTATGGGTGCAAGAGAGGATTCTGGCCTGGGAGAGGAGTGTAGGAGGGAGTGCAGAGTCTGGGAGGGAGCTGGACTCATGGGTGCAGAGGATTTGGGTAGTGACCTGGGGCAGGAGGAGGTGATGACTTGGGGCAGGGAGATGCGGTGCAGGAGGGGATGGGATGCCAGAGGCAGACTCTGGCTAGGAGGTGCTTGCCTAAGCAGCTCCCAGCCAGTAGCCCAGCAGGACCCTCAGCAGCCCCAAACCACTCAAAGAGGTTGGCTGTTCCATGTGGCTGTCTGTGCCTCACCAAGGGAGAGGCTTCATTGTCTTCAGTATTATTTATGAGCTATCAGCATAAGGCAGTTATTGAACAACTTAGTAAACATAGTAAATACAAAATTAATGCTTGTTGGCATAGGGAAGTTCTTTTAAAAAACAAAACTACTTCACTGAGAGAAGGGGAGACACTGAGGTCTATCTAGATAACATACCTAGATATCATGCTGACTGGTTTGCTGTCCCTAGATAATAGACTTAAAATAGTTTTCTTTTCTTTGGTGCATTAGTTCCTTTCTAAAAATGAAAGAGAATTCAAAGATCTTCTGACTGTAGAAAGGGGACTTTTTCCATGTAACATTTTTCAGTGTGATCTATATCCCTTTTTGAAGAACTTCAGTTTAGCAAGGGGTTACCCTTTTCAGAAAAGTAGTTTTACCTTTGTGTAGAATCTCTGGGTCCTCTATATAAAGACCCTCTCTATGATTAAAAATCTTCATATTATCAAGTTGTTTTCACTGCCCAGGGAAAGGAAGAATTCTGTTTTGATAAGGCACAGGAATGAAAGTCAGGAGACTGGTTTCTAGTCCCACCTTTTCTGTAGACTTTTTTTGCAAACTTAAAGATGCCACTTTTCCCTGTTGTTAAATGTAGATAATGCCAACCTGCCTCAGAGGGATATTGAAAGCTAAATTTTTAGTGAGATCCTATAGATTAACCTAAAATAAGAAATGGCAGCTACAGATGATTCCTAAGATTGGTCCAAACAGTACACCAGCCTGCCAATGGACAATTGTTCTCTACAGTACATTTTCTAGTGTATTATACTGTGGAATTGCCCAAACAAGATTGGGGTCCCAATGTGTAAGGTTCTATACAAATTATAGATACAATCCCTGCCCCAATGATTTTACAGCCTACAGTTTGTCTAGTTTCCAAAGTCCTAAACCATGGGATTTCTAATGCTTCATTGGAGACTGTTCAGTTGCCTAATGCATCTCACTGTCAGGAATTTTTTCTACTGGATAGTGCACTGAAATTTTTTTGACTTGACACCCAAGTTAACCAAGTTTCTTGCACTTGGATAACTTTGAAATTGGGGAATATTCATACATGCATCGACTTCATCCTCAAGAACAATGGGTATCTGACATGCTCCATTAAAAAGCCAAACTTAAATAGGTTTTACACGTAAGATGACGTCTAGGATCAGAGGGGAAAAAAGTATCTCCTCACCCTCCTCAGAATTCTACCAAACAGAAGTGGAATTACTCTAAAGCTGCTTCTGCAACATGACTTCTTCAGCTCTAGTGGATGCTCTCCAAACACCCCCATTATTGGTGTGCAATTTGACTCCTGGGTCAGTGTAGTCCTCATTCCAGGCCCAACCAAAGAGTTTGCGGAATCCAAGGCAGCATGCTGTGGTTGGCAGAGCCACACAGCTGGGCGGCTCCCAGTCAGGGCAACGAATGAGTGGCTGGGTGGGTGGGAGCTGGGCAGCGCAGGGCCCTGAATGTGCAGAGCCCAGGCCAGGCCTGCCTCATTCTGAATAATTCCATCCATGCTAGGGGCTCTCTATACCAGTGGTTCCCAAGCTTTTTTATATCGGGGACCTGCAAACCCATTTGCAATCGAGGTATGCAATTAAAAATGGAAAAAGATGAGAAAACTATTCAAAAGGTACTGTAATGTTTCGACAGTGATGGATGTCTCTCTAAGCAGAAACACAGCAGGCTTAGGTTATTTGCAAAATGTATTCCAAATAATATTAGAAAGATGAAAAATAGTCTATATAATTTCAATTGTTTCAAGTTTTGTTTTATATTTGTGTAAGTCAATAATAAGTAATAATGAGCTGATATTCCTGAGTAGGCAGAAGATGATGATTCATATTATCTTTCTCCTGTCATATCAGCATTATTTGTGCTGTATTTTAACACTATTAGGTAAAACACTTCCTTGCTTCTGAACCTCAGTAAACTATATTGGATGTGGGTGGAGAACTTTCATTAAGATGGAGGACACAGGTATATTTTTAGAGCAGGGGTGGGCAATAATTTTTGATGGGAGGGCCACTCCAAGATTTTAATAAGTAGTCAAGAGTTGCACATTTCTTTGGAGAAAGTGTGGGTTTGGGACGGAGGATGGGTGCAGAAGGGAACTCGGGGTCTGGGACTGGGGTGCAGGAGAGGATGTGGGATCCGAGAGATAGTTTGATTGAAGGAGGGAGTTGTGATCTGGGGCAGGTGATTGGGGTGCAGGGTCCAGGAGGTGTTATGGGTGCAAGAGAGGATTCTGGCCTGGGAGAGGAGTGTAGGAGGGAGTGCAGAGTCTGGGAGGGAGCTGGACTCATGGGTGCAGAGGATTTGGGTAGTGACCTGGGGCAGGAGGAGGTGATGACTTGGGGCAGGGAGATGCGGTGCAGGAGGGGATGGGATGCCAGAGGCAGACTCTGGCTAGGAGGTGCTTGCCTAAGCAGCTCCCAGCCAGTAGCCCAGCAGGACCCTCAGCAGCCCCAAACCACTCAAAGAGGTTGGCTGTTCCATGTGGCTGTCTGTGCCTCACCAAGGGAGAGGCTTCATTGTCTTCAGTATTATTTATGAGCTATCAGCATAAGGCAGTTATTGAACAACTTAGTAAACATAGTAAATACAAAATTAATGCTTGTTGGCATAGGGAAGTTCTTTTAAAAAACAAAACTACTTCACTGAGAGAAGGGGAGACACTGAGGTCTATCTAGATAACATACCTAGATATCATGCTGACTGGTTTGCTGTCCCTAGATAATAGACTTAAAATAGTTTTCTTTTCTTTGGTGCATTAGTTCCTTTCTAAAAATGAAAGAGAATTCAAAGATCTTCTGACTGTAGAAAGGGGACTTTTTCCATGTAACATTTTTCAGTGTGATCTATATCCCTTTTTGAAGAACTTCAGTTTAGCAAGGGGTTACCCTTTTCAGAAAAGTAGTTTTACCTTTGTGTAGAATCTCTGGGTCCTCTATATAAAGACCCTCTCTATGATTAAAAATCTTCATATTATCAAGTTGTTTTCACTGCCCAGGGAAAGGAAGAATTCTGTTTTGATAAGGCACAGGAATGAAAGTCAGGAGACTGGTTTCTAGTCCCACCTTTTCTGTAGACTTTTTTTGCAAACTTAAAGATGCCACTTTTCCCTGTTGTTAAATGTAGATAATGCCAACCTGCCTCAGAGGGATATTGAAAGCTAAATTTTTAGTGAGATCCTATAGATTAACCTAAAATAAGAAATGGCAGCTACAGATGATTCCTAAGATTGGTCCAAACAGTACACCAGCCTGCCAATGGACAATTGTTCTCTACAGTACATTTTCTAGTGTATTATACTGTGGAATTGCCCAAACAAGATTGGGGTCCCAATGTGTAAGGTTCTATACAAATTATAGATACAATCCCTGCCCCAATGATTTTACAGCCTACAGTTTGTCTAGTTTCCAAAGTCCTAAACCATGGGATTTCTAATGCTTCATTGGAGACTGTTCAGTTGCCTAATGCATCTCACTGTCAGGAATTTTTTCTACTGGATAGTGCACTGAAATTTTTTTGACTTGACACCCAAGTTAACCAAGTTTCTTGCACTTGGATAACTTTGAAATTGGGGAATATTCATACATGCATCGACTTCATCCTCAAGAACAATGGGTATCTGACATGCTCCATTAAAAAGCCAAACTTAAATAGGTTTTACACGTAAGATGACGTCTAGGATCAGAGGGGAAAAAAGTATCTCCTCACCCTCCTCAGAATTCTACCAAACAGAAGTGGAATTACTCTAAAGCTGCTTCTGCAACATGACTTCTTCAGCTCTAGTGGATGCTCTCCAAACACCCCCATTATTGGTGTGCAATTTGACTCCTGGGTCAGTGTAGTCCTCATTCCAGGCCCAACCAAAGAGTTTGCGGAATCCAAGGCAGCATGCTGTGGTTGGCAGAGCCACACAGCTGGGCGGCTCCCAGTCAGGGCAACGAATGAGTGGCTGGGTGGGTGGGAGCTGGGCAGCGCAGGGCCCTGAATGTGCAGAGCCCAGGCCAGGCCTGCCTCATTCTGAATAATTCCATCCATGCTAGGGGCTCTCTATACCAGTGGTTCCCAAGCTTTTTTATATCGGGGA